CGATTGCCTGCAAAAACCATTTAAATTCAAATATAAGACAAATACCTTCTCGTTAAATATTTAAAAAGAGAAAAATCATCAAACATGAAATATTAGAATTTAAACAGGAAAATATCATGAATTGACACAAATGTCTTAATTAGTTATCTCAGTGAGATCTGAGGAAATGTTGCCTATTTGTTTCTGGAACAGGCAGAAGAGAAAAAAACACTGATGTGGCAACATTTTAATAAAGTGGAAAAATATGATAAGCACATTTTAAAGTATAATAGAAATACTGGACCAGTAGATTGCAGAAAGTGCAAAGAGCACAATAAGATAAAAGATTTTAGAAATTCTTCCAAAAGTCAAATAAACCCAAAGTATAGAGGGAAAAATTGATTCTTGAAAATGAATACATCAACTTCAATTTATATATAACAGAAATTTCACAAGCAGAAATCAATGGAGCTAAGAGAATAATTAAAAAAATAAGAAAACTTATTTGCAATCAGGACTCTGTCCTAATTTACCATATATCAGAAAAATAATTAAAATACCTATTTATAATTATTATTTACAAAACAATTACTACATTCCTGCACTATGGTAAACATTGTTAGGCCATAGTAGAATGGTTTCTGTGGCCTAACTTCCATGATATTCCACAGTCTAGTTCATTTTTCTTACCTCACCAATAGAGATTGATCAATTCAGTACTCTAATTACAGATGTTTAAAAGGACCAAAGGATGTGGAACAAAAAGATAATTCAATAAAGGTACTTGATGCCTTGCCTCCATTTTCCTATGCCTGCCTTTCAATAATAGAGACCTTACCACTTCTGAGATTCTTTCCCTCAGGATGATGTGACATATAGAGATTTGGTGTCATGGACTCATTCAGAACAGGGGCTTTCTTTGCCCTTCTTTTCTTACTCTAAGGAGAACAAACGAAAAGCATCACATCCCTGGTCATCATTCTGCCCATCAAGTCCTAGATCCTGGGTTGTAAATACCATTCTCCACTCGAACTGGGCTCTTCGAGAGATGGTTATAACCAGAATTGAGCCATGGACAAGTACAAGATGAGCCTCAAATGACTTGCAGAAAAGCCAAGGAATTGCTCAAGGAAGGATTGTGGTATGTCAAAGGATGAAAGAACCAAACTGAAAAGGCTTCCACCAGCAAAATTAAGGAAATTTGAAGAGCAAAATATTGATAGGAAGATATCATTACCTATTGAATAAAATAGGACACCACAAATTTCTACAGATATAAATGTGAAAATGTTAAAAGTTTGGTGAGGACAACGATACATACAGTCTCAATTTACTTTCCCAGAAATTTTATTTAAAAAGGGGAAAGTAACTTACAGCAGAGCCTAGCAGCCCCCACCCTAATCAAGTGATCAAAGTGATCATCATTAGTAATAAGACAAAGTGCAACTAGTACCAAATGATAGGATGCAATATGATACAGCATCACAGGAATCTCAACATGCTTTTAGGATAGCACATGGTGAAGTAATGTTTTCCAAGTTTTATTGAGAGATAATTGATAAATAATATTGTATTAGCTTCAAGTGTACAATGAAATGATTTGATATATGTACATATTGCAAAAAAGATTATCACAATAATTTAGTCAACATCCATCACCATATATAATTACAATTTTTTTCCCTTGTGATGAGAATTTTTCAGATCTACTCTCTAGGAACTTTCACATACATGATACAATATTGTTAACGATACTCACGATGCCATACATACATCCCCAGGACTTATTTATCTTATAAATTGAACTTTATATCTTCTCTCCACCTTTACCCATTTGTTTTCCCAACCACAACCTCTAGCAATCACCAATCTGTTTTCTATATTGATGAATTCAGTTTTTGTTTAGATTCCACATTTAAGTGTGATCATACAGTATTTATCTTTTACTGTCTGTCTCATTTCACTTAGTGTAATGCCCTCGAACTTCATCCATGATGTTGCAAATGGTAGAATTGCCTTCTTTTTTATGGTTGAATAATATTCCATTATATGTATATGGAACATTTCCTTATTCGTTTATCTTCCTTGCATACTTAGGTTGTATTGACTATTGTGAATAATGCTGCAGTAAACATGGGAGTGCAAATACATTTTCAAGACAATGATTTTGTTCCTTTGGATAAATATCCAGAACTGAAATTGGTAGATCATAGGTAGTTCTATTTTTTGAGTAATGTCCATAACATTTTGCATAAAGTCATCACCAATTTACATTCCCACCAATGGTGCACAAGGGTTCCCTTTTTTCCATATCCTTACCACAACACTTGTTATTTCTTGTCTTTTTGAAAATAGCCATTCTAATAAGTATGAGATGATATCTCATTGTGGTTTTGATGTGCATTTCCTTGATGATTACTGGTGTTGAGTACATTTTCATGTACTTATTGGCCATTTTTATGTGTTACTTGAAAAACAATATATTATACAGATCCTCTACCCATTTTTAAATTGATTGATTTTTTTTCCACTATTGAATTACATGAGTTCTTTATATATTATGGGTATTAACCACTTATCAGATATGATTTGCAAATATTTTCTCTCTTTCATTCTATACATTGTATTTTCATTTTACTGATGGTTTCTTCTGCTATACAGAAGATTTCAGTTCATTAAAGTGGCACTTAATTTTTTTCTTTGGTGTCAAATCTAATAAATTATTCCCAATACCTATGTCAAGGCGCTTACCCCCTTTTCTACTAGAGCTTTTATGATTTCAGGCTTTACATTCAAGTCTTCAATCCATTTTGAGTTAATTTATGTATAGTGGTCCAGTTTCACTCTTTGCATGTGGCAATAGAGTTTTTCAAGCACCATTTATTGAAGACACAGTTCTTACCCCATTGTATATTCCTGGCTCCTTTGTCATAAATTAAATGATGATATATGGGTGGGTTTATTTCTAGGCTCTCTATTCTGTTCCATTAATACGTGTACCTGCTTTTATAACAATATCATACTCTTTTGATTATTATAGCTTTGTAATATAGTTTGAAATCTGGAAATGTAGTGCTTTCAGCTTGGTTATTCTTTCTCAATATTGCTTTGGCTATTGGTATCTTTTGTGGTTCCATAAAAATTTTAGGATTTTTTTTCTTTCAGTGAAAACTGCCATTAGAATTTTGATAGGAATTGCACTGAATTTGTAGATTTCTTTGTGTAATATGAACATTTGAACAATATTAATTCTTCCAATCCATGAGAATATCTTTTCATATTTTTGTATTTTCTTCAATTTCTTTCATCAATGTCTTATA